CTTCTCCTCTGGCCCTGACTCCATGTTCCTTCTCCTCAGGTCAGAGGGGAGGATCTGTTAAACTTTCTGATACTAAAGGATTACTTCTCATATTTCTGTAGATAGGAGAGGGATGGAGATGAGAAAGAGTATGTTTTTAAAAGAAAAACGGATCATTTTCAGCTCCAGCGGAGTTCTCTAAAGGAGGTGTTTTGGGCACCACAGGGTGTCTTCATATGAAAGGGATTTCTTGGAACTTTTTGAGTCACAACCCACAGAAAACCACCTCTGGGCAACCAGAGGCTTGGTCACACCCTATCTCAGACCTCTACACTGCTGGTCCTTCTGCTACCCCAGCACCCCACTCCCCAGAGCCCAAGGCCACCGTCAAGACTGTGCACATCCCAGACGACTCTGTGCAAATATTTACATAGCTCCTCTGGGGCTGCAGAAGACAGGACAGTGAGGAGCCGCCCTCCTGACACTCTCCAGACCCCAGCGTAGGTGGATGAAGTGGACAACACGCCGAAACTGCATCATGCTGCCAGGCCCCAAGACAGGCTGAGACAGAAAGCCCCCAGCAGGCCAGGGCATTTTCCTGGAGCTGGGGGTGCTAGAGAGAAGCAGCAATTGGGCCATGTTGTGTGGGAAGAGGCAGCTGAGGAGCTCTGACCTCAGAGGGGGCTCCAAAGCCATCTTGGTTAGCCCCGACCCCAAACTGCACCAGGCCCTGGCCAGGGAAATGGGACATCTCAACCCAAGATGCAGGGAGCCTCTCCCCGCCTGGGAAACAGCTCCTCATGCTTGTCCTTGGTGTCCCTGCACAATCCAGTCTGTTCCCATCTCAGGAGACAGAACACCAGTGGGCACCAGTCTCTCTGACCTGCCGTCCCAGCCTCAAAACATCCAGGATCCTTTGGAAACGCTTCCTTTATCAACACTCCAGACTGACAGGGCTTGGTGGGGCTGAGAAGTAGGGAATTGAGAAGACAAGGGGGTAGGTAGCATGGATAGGATGGACAGATTTCAATTTACAAAAACAGGGAGGCCATGGAAAAAGCTGGAGAGAGAGATTCAGGAGAAATGACCTTAGTGTGGAGGATCACAACAGGCCCAGCCAAGAGTCATAGGCAAGAAGTGATTGGACAGTACTTAGGAGGCCAGGGTCTGAGGCAGGGAGAGCAGACCGGTGGGCCTGGAGACCATTTCTGGGACTCTGGCCTCCTACAGGCCCTGGGACAGAGAATCTGCTAGCTTCCAACCCTCCCCCACCTTGTCAGCTTCAGCTGTTACAGCCGGACCCTCTGACCCTGCTGTCATGGCAACCAGCCTGCAGCTGGAGTGAAAAAGCTTCAGACTCTTCTCCAAAGGCACCCCCATCCCCACCCATGTATAGGCTCCCCATGACACAGAGACTAGGTCAGGGCAGAGGTGTAGGGAGCCAGGCAGATTTGAAGATAGGCCCAGAGGGATGAGGGCATCCAGGGAGAGGAAAAGAGGCATGAAGGAAAGCTCGGGGTACAAAGTGAAGGAAAGAAGAGAGACTGATGCAGGGAGAAGGAGAAAAAGACCAGGAGGACAGAATCACAGGTGAGGTGGCAGCAACTCCAGCAGACAAAGGTAGACAAAGCGTAGGGACAGAAATCTTGGGGCACAGTCAGTAGGCAAACACAGAGAGATAGAAACAAAGAGCAGAGAGATGGCAAGGGACAGAATAGGAGGGCCCACAGATGGAGGAGAATGATGTGGGAAAAGAGACATGTACCAGTCAGTACCTGCTGCTGAGCATCCCACCCACCCCCACGCCCCCCAGGGGCAGCCAGTAGGATGTTACCACTCCATCTTGACTTGACCCTAGGCCTGATATTAAGGGACACTTGCATAGGCCAGTAAGCAGTTCCACTACCCCAAGCACCCCAGGTCTCTCTCTCTAGCCCATCCCCACCTCCCAGCAGTCCCAACAACTGAATAATGGGGCTGTCTGGCTCTAAGCCCTGATGCTGCACAGAGCTGGGCTAGAGGCACCGACACAGCACAGCTGTCTGCGGTGGCGCCGGCCAGCAAAAGGCCCGCCTCCTTCCCAGCTGCCCTCACCTCCCTGGAGCTTAAGCCCAGGGGCCCACTTCCCCATGGCTAACCCAAGCAGAGACCCTGTGAAAGACCCAGACAGAAACAAGAGGTGGCACCAGCATTCCTCACTCCTGCCTCCCTCCTCAGCCCATGAATACATGAGCACACATGCTCATGAATACATACACAGCCCAGGTCAAGCCACTGTGATCTTCATAAATGGGGGCAAGGGAAAAGCAGTAGCAGAGGAAGTCTTGTCTTCATCCCAAGCCTAAAGTATCAGCGTAATTGGCCACCTGTTGTTGAATTACCCAATAAGCAAGGTAAGCATTTACTCATCTGTTGGGAATAATTTTATATGATTTCACCACATCAAAGATTCTGCTTCTAGATCTGACAGGCAACTGCCTTTCTTCCAAACCCACCGCATCTTCCCACAGAATCAAAATCTCTTTTCAAATTCACAATCCTGGACAGGGATAGAGTACCCAGTAAGCATGGTAAACATGGGTTTATATGGCTTACGTACTAACCGGTAATGGACAGTTTCACATTTTTTCCACCACATCTTTGATTGTGAAATTGTTCACTACAGATTAGTAAGGAAGAACAGTCACGCCCATGCTTCCCTTGCTTGCCCATGAAGCAGAGAGGGTCAGGCAGACCTGGCTGGCAGAGGGTTTTCTGGGGTGCAGCCTCATCTGGAGTAGTCTCCTGGGCAGTGGAAAGAGGCTTGGAAGGCATGCACTAATCCCACTCCTTCAGATTCCCTGGTAATCAGACCTCTGGTTCTCAGTTTCTTCTTCTGTAACTTGAGTGGGTTCGATTAAATGATGCTTGAGGTCATCTCCAGCTTCAAGATTCTATGATAGCACTTTTGCGGTGGCCATCCTTGTCCGAAAGGAGTTGGGCTGGAGCAGGAGGGAAGACCAATTCCACCAAGGTGGGCCACACACACACTCCATTCCAAGACTGAATCTATTAAGTGCCTCCTGTCAAGGGCCTAAATCACACAAACAAATCAGAGGCCACACAGTGTTGGCATGACGTTTCACATTTCAAGGCACTTTCTAAAAAGCCTCACAGCATAACTGTGATGTTCTCAAGTTAAACACATTATCCTATTTTGCAGAAATAGAAACAGACTCAGGGAAGGTAACTGACTTGTCCAGTATTGTAAAATTTCAAGTGAAATCTGAACCTATGATTTATATGTATTTTCTTCTCATTACTACAGGGTTTTCAAACTTTTCAAATAAAATTTTAAATGCAATAATATGCAATGTATAGAGCTGTAAGTATTCAGGTGCCATTCTTAATACATGACAAAATGTATTGGGCCCTGGCTAAACAGACCATGTATTCAATTCCCAGCTCTGCCTCTTTCTAACTGATTTTTAGGGAAGTTACTTAAATTCTCTGAGTGTCAGTTTCCTCATCCATGTGAAAATGAAAATAGCACCTACTTCCCAGTGCTGTTGGGAAGGTGACAAGGGACACTGCCCACACATTGTGTGCCGTCACCAGCCAATGTCAGCTATCTCCACGTAGCCAAAGATAAAAACATTATCTGCTTTAATGAAAGTCCCAGGATACATCAGTCAAACAACAGAACTTCCTGCCTCCCAGGAGAATCTCTATTTGGTATATACAAAACCTCCTTCCCAAAGAGCTCTGGTAACGTAGTGGTTACTAATCGGGGCTGTGAACCGCAAGGTCAGCAGTTCGAAACTACCAGCTGTTCCGCGGGAGAAAGATGAGGCTTTCTACTCCCGTAAAGATTTACAGCCTTG